CCGGTGTATCATGATCGAAGCAAGCATATAGATACAAGATATCACTTCATCAAAGAGTGCATTACCAAGAAGGAAGTCAAGCTTAAATATGTGAAGTCTCATGATCAGGCTGCAGATATCTTTACAAAGCCTCTTGAGTTTGAGGATTTTCAGAGATTGAGATTGTCTTGGAATGAAAAAGAAAAATCAAAATTAAGGGAGAGTGGGGCTCATATTAAATAAAAACAAAAAAGAAATGAAGAAAAAATGGGATGAGAGGTGCCTAACTTTGTTGACAACTTTGTTGAAGAAAAAGAGAGATGCCTAACTTTGTTGACCACTTTGTTGAAGAAAATGGAAAGTGCATAACTTTGTTGAAAACTTTGTTGAAGAAAATGGGAGGTGCCTAACTTTGTTGAAAAATTTTAGGACTAAATCAACAACAAGCCATCTTCTTTGTAGTAGTTGGATGACATCTCTTACTATAAATAGATGCCTCCATTCTTCATTTCAAACACACCAAAATAAGAGAGAAGCAATAGAAGTTAGAGAGAGTAATCCACAGATTGTAGTCTGTGAGATAAATAGTGTATGTGAGTAATATTGTAGTGAAGTGTTTTTAAATAAAGAGTGTTATTTCTTTCAAAATTGTAGTAGTCTCTTGACACTACTAAGTTGTAATATTATAGTGGTTATATTGCTCCGCTCGGGTATTGTATTTTACCCCATTAAAAGAGTTGGTGTCGTTGTTACTCTCTTGTGTTATTATTATTTGCCGTGGATATTATTTCTGGGCGGGATTATTATTTTTCCCAACAATAATGAGTTGCTGATTCTTATGCTAATCTATTTTGCAGGTCAGGTTGTGCCGGGACAAAATATCTGGTAATATATATGCAATGAAAAAGTTGAAGAAGTCTGAAATGCTAAGTAGGGGGCAGGTGAGATCAAATCCTTCTTAACATGCTTAAGGCGCCAATTAGTATCCACCTTTATTAAATAAGATTTTATTTCTAGTCTTTTGCTCTGCTTCTTCTATCAAGATATGCAAGGAAATGCAGCATAATTTGTTTTTAGAAGTGATCTGTTTTTTCTTACCATCTCTTTACATTACAGGTTGAACATGTTCGGGCCGAAAGGAATTTGCTTGCTGAAGTAGCAAGCCACTTTATTGTAAAACTTTATTATTCTTTCCAAGATGCTGACTACTTGTATCTAGTAATGGAATATCTGCCCGGTGGTGATTTGATGACATTGCTGATGAGGGAGGAGACATTAACTGAGACAGTCGCAAGATTTTACATTGCTCAAAGTGTTTTAGCCATAGAGTCTATTCATAAGCATAACTACATACACAGGTAGTTAATATACTTGGTAAAAGATTTGAAATGATCTCAATGCACAATGGTTTATGTCTTTTACATAACATTTTTTTTTGTAGGGATATTAAACCTGACAATCTTCTTTTGGACAAAAATGGCCACATGAGGTTATCTGATTTTGGTCTATGCAAGCCGCTTGACTGTTCGAATTTATCTCCTATAAATGAAAATGAAGTGATGGATGATGAGAACGCACGGGGATCTGCTAACAAGGGAACTGGAAGCTGTTGGAATAGCTCCCTTGAACAACTGCAGCATTGGCAGATAAACAGGAGAAAATTAGTAAGTAGGACATTATTAACAGAAGCACAGCTATTTTCTCATAAATTATGAACTTAATCCAGAATCCTTATTTTTGTTGGTTTTTCAAGGATACAACAACAACCCAGTATAATCCCACTAATGGGGTCTGGGGAGGGTAGTGTGTACGCACACCTTACCCCTACCCTGGGGTAGAGAGGCTGTTTCCAATTGACCCTCGGCATCCTTCCCTCCAAGAACTCCCACCTTGCTCTTGGGGTGACTCGAACTCACAACCTCTTGGTTGAAAGTGGAGGGCGCTTACCATCAGAGCAACCCACCTTGTCAAGGATCATAATTAATATTTAGGACTAGTACCAGAACAATTGGTTTTGGGAAAATAACATAATTCTTTCTCCATAAGTTTAGTACATGGAGTATTGATTAAATCATATGCAGAACTATCTACCACCACTATTCCTGCATAGTGTGAACTTTGCAACGCAATAAGGGACACATAGCTCCAATAATTTGGTTGATAAATGACATATCAGGGGAAGTGTATAGTCACTTTTAAGACTCCACTTGCATTGAGAAATAGTATAAAATCACTTTTTCTTTCCTGTACTCTCCATTTGTTCTTTTTCTTGGTAAGCTTTGTTACATGGTCTCTTTCTTTTTGTTTGATGTGCCTGTTTTAGACAAAATTATTCATATGGATCTGAAAAATGCATAAAGAATATAGCTATAATTAAAAAAGTGCCCTTGTTGGATACGTAGCTTTAGCTGATACTTTACCGGAGACATTTAACAAAGTTAGTAAACATGATTTTGTTGAATTTAGCACTAAGAAGTTGCTGCTTAAAAGCGATAAGCTTTGTTAAGACAAAAATGTTATACACAGCTTGGACCATCTGAAAAATTTCAAGTACTTAGATGAACTTTGTTAAGACTGAAATACAAAGCATAGGGGGAATGACTAGTGTCACGAATTACTCTTATTTATATCGACGTAACAGATATTGGTCTACAACTGTAAAGACAAGACTGCCCTTATCCCCGACCCAAAGATGGCGTATAATGTAAATGTCATGCATGCCAAGCTTGTTACAAGTCTACTTCACTTGTTTATCCTCTAAATGCTTAATGAACAAGTCAACAACTTCGTTCCCAATTCCCCTTATGCTTTTTGAATGACACTTCGGAACTTTCTCCCGCTCAAAGTGACGATCAACCAGTATGTGTTTTATTTGCTTATGCCTGGTACATTCTTTATCACATTCTAGCTTTACAGAAGTCTTCTTTGAAAGCGTAATTTTCGAAATCTCTTAAGTCAGATGGAGACCGTCTGAAAATGCAGGAAAGTGCTTAGATCATCTTCATATGAGTAATGGAAACGAACTAGAAGTATCATTTACTATTCCAAGAAGTGACCTTTTGTTACTACCTTCTGTGACAATATTTGTTGTCTAAAACAAATTAGTTACCAGAACCTGTAATATTTTCTGTTTCTATCGCAGGCATTTTCAACAGTGGGCACTCCTGACTATATTGCTCCTGAGGTTTTACTGAAGAAAGGCTATGGAGTGGAATGTGATTGGTTGGTTTTCTTACTGTTTGTGATTGACATGGATTTTAATTGGCTGGTGTTGTTAAAAGTTTTTGATTGCTTTCCTTTGCGAAGTTTAAACGTGACTGTTTCATGTACTTGTTGCTAAGCATAGCGCGCACGTCTCACTTATGTCTTCTCTTTTAGGTATGGTCACCTTTTGAATAGACAAAGTAAAGTTAGTATTCTAAATCAATTATCCTCTTTACTTGTTGCTTCGTTCAGGTGGTCACTTGGTGCCATCATGTATGAGATGCTCGTTGGTTATCCCCCTTTTTACTCTGAAGATCCAATAACAACATGTAGAAAGGTATAGTGGTCTGCACTTGAATGATTGTTTGTTTCTGTAAGCAGCATTGACACTACAAACTTTACAAGGTTGGAAAGGAAATCTACTTTCTCATGTTCAACATTGATAATGGCGCCGGGATTGTGCCTTTATCCTTTGTGTTTAGTTAACAATCAAATTATCTAATGGTAGTTCAGTTTGGATGCTTATGTAGCATGACTTAAATGCTATACCTTGACACTTGTTCTGGTTCTATAGATTGTTCATTGGAGAAATCACTTAAAGTTCCCAGAGGAAACAAGATTGAGTCCTGAAGCCAAAGACCTGATCTGTAGATTGCTTTGTGATGCTGAAAATCGCCTTGGTTGTCGAGGAGCAGAGCAAATAAAGGTTTGTGTTACAAAGAAAGTGTTACAATCAATCAATTATAGATTCTTATGTTTTATTCATGAATATAATCAGGCTCACCCCTGGTTCAAAGATATAAAATGGGATAAACTTTATGACATGGAGGCAGCTTATAAGCCAGAAGTCAATGATGATCTTGACACTCAAAATTTCATGAAGTTTGATGAGGTGATTGCCATTTTATATCATATTCTATTTCTGTTCTTTCTTTTCAAATTGTAGAGAAATTTTGTGAGAAGTGATATTTCATCTTTGTAATTTGATCGTGACGGTACATCCACATGGTTCACTACTACACAAGCTACCTTTGTGGGTATGCAGTGATTAAAAGTTAACCTAGGTGATCTTATAGGCCTATTTGTTATTTTGGTGCCTAAAGATGAGCTTATGATACCGATCAACAATGACTGTGGTGACTGACTGTGCATATATGCAGGACCCTAATTCCCTCTAGAGTATGTTTTCTTCTCTCATTAATGTAAGCCCTTCCGTTTTGCACCACAGTGGAGAAAAACAAAGTGAAGTGTAGAAGAAGTGAAAAAGTAAAAGAGGAGAATTAAAAGCAAAATGAGAATGAAAAACAGAATTGGAGGATCAAAGCTAATTTTTATCACCAAAAGCACAGGACCATTTTCTGGATAAAACTGATAAACTTAGCATCTTTTATTTTCATTTGAATATACTCAAGCTTCGTTTTGGATGATAAATTTGATATTCATCTTTTAACTGTTGTTAATAATGCTGCGTTAAGAAAACCTCCACAACTGATGTACAATTGCAACTCTCTTCAGGCAAATCAGCCACCAGCAAAAAATAGTTCAGGACCCCATAGAAAGGTGAGTTTTTTCGCAACTGATGTACATTACATTCAGCGATCGTTCTACTTACCAGATCTCAGGGCACTGGCTTCCGTTCATGATAATAAATATTTGACATCTCCATATTCCATACTGAATGTGATCATGTTTTGCTGCGCACCTTGCTATCATCATTTTTGGCACTTTCTTCTCTTGCTTACTTTTCTGGTTCTCCTTTCCAGAACACCTTTTCTCCCCATGCCATGCTTAAGTAAATCTTTTCTACTCTAATATTTATTTTGGCAGAAGCGTCTGATTCCCGAAGATTTAAGTTTTGTTGGCTATACCTACAAGAATTTTGAGGCTGTCAAAGGATTAAGACATTCTTCAGGTATGGTGACGTCGATATCCTCTCAGACGATAATAGTTCTGTCATCTTTTTTTCGAAGAGAGCTCATGTTGCATGCTCTATCATCTATTAAGTCACTGCTAATACTTATGTATGTCGTGGCCTGTATGAGTGCTCGAATGAGTTCTGAACTTCTATATCATTTAGACAGCAGGACCTACTATTTGACTGGTAATAATGCTCACTTGTGTTGATGTATAATGACCTACAATTTATAATGCTCACTTGTGTTGATGTATGTCTTAATGCTCTCATTGGACTTAAGTTACAAGTAGGTATATGACATGAATAAAGCATTTCCTGAGTTATGGCATCAGTTAGAATTTTGTGTAGCATCTTTAATTTCTTAGATGATTGGTCATGCACTCAACTTGACATTTTATCAACTTCCTGGATTTGGAAAACTTCAGTATCTTGCTGATTATTTTAACTTTCATTATATATTATGTATGTAAGGGTGGCAAGTGGGCCGGTCCAGGCCCGGGACCACGGGCCAAACGGGGTAGGACCGTTTGGCCCGGTTTTAGTGGGCCTGGTGGGCCGGTCCTGTGCTTTGGCCCGCCAGTCCCCGGACCATTTAGCCCGCTAGGGACCGGGACCGGACCGGTCTCTTAGCGGGCCAAACGGTCCCAACGGCTATATTTTTAAAAAAAATTTAAAATATAGCCGTTGGGCTGTCAAAAATAGCCGTTGGCTATTTATAAAATAGCCATTTAAACCCCCCAACTTTGTTTTAACCCCAAACTTTTTATAATTACACTTTTTCCCTATTTTCAACTATAAATACCCCCTCATTCTTTCATTTTTCTTACAAAATCATCAATCTATCACAATCTCTCTCTAATTTTATTCTATAATTGTTACTATTACTTACTTTATTGTAACATGATAGGACCAAAGTATGATACTTTTTAGCTAGTATAAATATGCGATGATGGAAGATCAAGTTTTCATGAAATTAGTTGTGTAGCTAGCCGATAGAGAGGATAATATATCTAAGAGTGGGAAATTAGTTAAAACTGTAATCTNATGGGATGATGGAAGATCAAGTTTTAGCTCAACTCAGATTACAGTTTCAACTAATTTTCCACTCTTAGATATATTATCCTCTTTATCGGCTAGCTATACCAATAGCATAGCTAAATATAATTTTAAGAGACATTATATTTAGTTATGCTACTGGTGTAGCTAGCCGATAAAGAGGATAATATATCTAAGAGTGGTAAATTAGTTGAAACTGTAATCTTAGTTGAGCTAAAACTTGATCTTCCATCATCCCATATTTATACCAGCTAAAAAGTATCATACTTTGGTCCTTTCATGTTACTACTATATATATATATATATATATATATATATATATATATATATATATACATCTTATATAGCTTATATAAGATGTATATATAGTATAGTATATATACTAAATGTATAATATATATTATAAAGTAGTAACAATAAAGTAAGCAATAGTAGCAATTATAGAAGAAAAATAGAGAGATTGTGATAGATTGATGATTTTGTAAGAAAAATAAAAAAATGAGGGGGTATTTATAGTTAAAAATAGGAAAAAAGTGTAATTATAAAAAGTTTGGGATTAA